TTAGATAGAGCCCGAAGTAAGCAACAGAAGCTCTTCCATTTAGTACCGGTCGACGAAGACGAAGGCCAGGAGATATCAACTAATAAGGAGCAAACCACGGGGGATCAGGTAAATTTTACCATGGGAGCCTCGTGTCCGGCGTACCGTATCTTGAGTACGCAACACAGGACTTGGGTATTTTAGAATTTCTGGTGGACACGGGGGCGAACAAGAACTATATAAGCGAGCGCGTAGCCCAAACCACTATACCAGTGGAAAAACCTTTCAAGGTAATCTCAGCAGGGGGAACCATAAATGTAGAGAAAAAAGTATGTGGACATTTTTTTGAATTCCACAACATTTTTTGTTCTCCCAGGGCTCAAATCGTTCGATGGGATAATAGGTGATGACACGCTGTCAGAGATCAAAGCCGTTTTGGATAGGGAACTCAATGTTCTCATTCTAAAACCAGATATTGTGCTGCCCCTTAAGCGGAAGGAAGCGCAGCAGGTTAACAGCATCAACCTTAACATCCCTTTCGATGATTATGTCACCGACCATACAAAAAACAAGCTTTACCGGATCCTAGAAAAATTCGAAATTCTATTCGGCCCAGTCGACCGAGGCGCAAAATTCCAAACTAATGTCCAGGCGGAAATCAGAACCGCAACCGAAAACCCTATTTATACAAGCTACCCCTACCCCGTTAATATGCACGAGGAGGTGGAAAAGCAAGTCCAGGACATGCTATCACAAAACATAATTCGCCCTTCCAAAAGTCCCTATAACTCGCCCATATGGATTGTGCCCGAAAAAATCTCAATCGGACGGTGAGAAAAAGTACCGCATGGTAATAGACCATTTCTGACACTTACCCCATCCCTGACATTAACGGCACCATCGCGAGTCTCGGTAGTGCAAAGTACTTTACGACACTAGACCTAACTTCGGGATTTCATCAGATCCCAATGAAAGAAAGCGATATTCAAAAAACGGCATTTTCCACAATGAATGGAAAATACGAATTTTTGAGACTTCCTTTCGGTCTCAAGAATGCACCCTCTATCTTCCAACCCATGATAGACGACGTGCTAAAAGAATTCATTGGTCGTATTTGCTTTGTGTACATAGATGACATTATAATCTTTAGTAAGGACGAATCTACTCATTTAAAAGATATTGAAACTATTCTTTCTAGGCTTTTAGCAGCGGGTCTCAAAGTTAATCTAGAGAAAACTCAGTTTCTGAAGAGAAGCGTCGAATTTCTGGGATACGTTGTAACCTCCGACTGAATACTGCCTGACCCAAGGAAGGTAGACTCTATAAAAAATATGTTGCCTCCGACTAACCTAAAAGAGCTCAAGAGCTTCCTAGGATTAACCTCATATTATAGGAAGTTTATTCGCGACTATGCAAAAATTGCAAAACCGCTCACGAACCTTACGCGGGGAGAACATGCGCAGGTAAGGGCAACACAATCAAAAAAGATGCCAATAACTTTGAACAAGGAAGCACAGGAAGCATTCTCAAATCTAAAAAAAATACTGACAACTTCTGAAGTCTTGACCTTCCCCAACTTTGATAAGCCCTTCAATCTAACGACGGATGCCTCCGATTTCGCTATCGGAGCGGTGCTATCACAGGATTACGATGGCAAGGACAAACCGATAGCATTTATATCGCGAAGTTTGTCCACCACAGAGGAAGCATATGCGACAAACGAAAAGGACATGCTCGCCATCGTATGGGCGTTGGATAACCTGCGGAACTACCTATATGGTGCTAATAAGATACGGATATTTACAGACCACCAACCGCTAACATTCTCTCTTAGCAACCGTAACTATAACGCCAAGCTAAAACGTTGGAAATCCAGGATTGAAGAGTATAACTACGAGATAATCTACAAACCAGGTAAATCCAACATCGTGGCTGACGCCCTGTCTCGACTTAAAACTCAGGCAAATCCCCTTACCACGTCCACACCCGAAGCCGCAAGCCAAAACGCAACAACGGGATCAACAGCGGACTCCCAAAGCGAAGAAGGTTCAACCAGCGACACCGTCCATAGCGCAGAGCAGGATAACTCGGATCTAATACCGTTCGTGGAAGTGCCTCTAAATGTATTTAAAAATCAACTTGTGTTTGGGGGTAGACTAGAAATTTTCGAGGAACCTCATCCGGGTTATTCGCGACATTACCTGAGATTGGAAGGAGTTAGCGAGGAAGAACTCATTAGGGTACTCAAGGAGAAGTTAAGGCCAAACATAATAAATGGCATCAAAATGCCAAAAGGCCAGCTAGGGTTACTCCAAAAAGTTTATCTAGAAAATTTTTTACAATATAAAATCCGGGTTGCTCAATCTATGGTGGAAGACCTAAGAGATCCCGATAGAATATGCGAGGTAATATGGGAAGAGCATAGAAGAGCTCATCGCAACGCCATCGAGAATAAGAAACAAATCTTGGAGAAATATTATTTTCCAAGAATGAATAGTATTATCAGGGGCTACGTTTCATCATGTGAAACGTGTAAAATCAGCAAGTATGATAGGCACCCCAATAAACCGGAATTGCAAAATGCACCTATTCCATCCCGCCCTTGCGAAATCATCCACGTAGATATCTTCGAGATACAAGGAGAGAAATTCCTCAGCTGCATTGACAAGTTTTCAAAATTAACAAAAACTATTTCACTTAAGAAATAAGTCCACTTTGCACCTTAAGGACAAAATAGTGAAACTCTTGCACTATTTTACGACCACAGATATCCTCTGTACCGACAACGAGCGCGGTCTAGTTAGCCCAATAATACAAAATCTGCTAGAGTCACTAGGAGTTAGGCTGTATCGCACAGCTTCTCAGAGAAGCGAGGTGAATGGCCAAGTAGAAAGGCTCCATTCCACATTGATAGAAATTATCAGATGCCTGAAGATAGACAACCCGAGTTTAAAAATGAAAGCACTAGTAAATATAGCAGTAGATCGCTATAATAACTCCATTCACTCCGTTATAAACCGGAAACCCAGTGAGGTATTTTTCAACCGTGCAAAAGCGGCTAATTACCAGGAGTTACTGGAAAAAAGCAGAAAAGCCAATGAATACCTAAAAATCTTACTGACTCAGAAACAACTAGCTTATATTGAACGGCACAACAAAAAGAGATCTCTACCGGAGCGTTATGATGAGAACGATATCATATACGTGAAGGACAAACAGATCAAGGGAAAGCAAAAACCCATTTTCAAAAAAGAAATTGTCGCTAAGGACAACAGAGTGTCCGTAACTACAGTTAGTGGGAAAAAAATCCACAAAACACATATAAGAAACGTCAAGCGTAGGAACACATCCTAGCACTTGAAACAGAAACCGAAAAATTTTGAAAATAACACAAAACTAGAAACACGAAATAAAGGAACGTTCAGCACTATAAGAGCGGGCTTATAAGTGGGACAAGTCGTGCCCTAGTAGGGGGCGACGCCAACGAATTTGACAAATGGCTACGTCGCCTCCAAAAACGGAATCTGCCGACCCCCCATAGCCGGTTCGAGAACAGTGTGGACCTCTATCCTACAAAAGAATTTAAACCGAATTTTTGCAAAACTTGCGCCTAATCCGCAAGAAAACAAGAAAAATAGTTTTGCGCCTAATCCGCATAACACATATTATACTGAATCCTTGCGCCTATTCCGCAAGAGAAGATAAAAAAGATATACAAAAAATATGAAAAAAAAAAGAAAGAATACAAAATATGAATAAATTTTATTGCAACCTTGCGCCTAATCCACTTGGGAAAATACGAAAAGAATATACAAAAAAAAAAAACAAAAAAAAGAATAATTTTATTTACAAATTTGCGCTAATCCGCAAAATATACATTGATACGTAACCTTTGCGCCTAATCCGCTTGGGAAAATACGAGAAGTTTAACCAAAAAAAAAGAAAGACCAAAAATTATCATTTCATTTGCAAAATTTTTTTATTTTTGTTTTTATTTATTTTGCCTCCAGTTAACTAACCTTTTTAAATTATTGATTTTTTTGTTTTTTATTTATTTTTATTATACCTAACATTAATACTAACACAAACTAAAACAGTCAACAATTGTAAAATGTTAAATAAATTCAAGGAAAATATTGTTTAACCTTAACATCATTCTGAAGCCTAAAACAAGAGAAAACAAACCACTAACGATCTTGAAAAAACAAATTTTTAATTAAGTTAACAAATACTAACACACTAATAAACTAACAACAACATCCTTGCAGACTCCCACTGCTGGCGTCGGCCATCAGCGCACTCCACATTTTCAACTACAAGGCACCAATCGTAACTATCCAAGACGGAAATGGGTGGATCATTGATGTGTCATTCAAACTTGTACACGTCATTAACCTCCAACAATATGCCACGGTTCTGAGGCAAATGGAAAACCTGACAAGCCAATTAATGAAACGTAGCAATGACCAAGTATTAACCAAACATTGGGGCGACTAGAAGAGCTAAGGGTAAGAAGAAGCAAAACCAGAATCACTCGATCAATCGACTGGATAGGCTCAGCCTCGAAATGGCTGGCAGGATCACCCGACGCAACCGACTGGAGTAATATTCTCCAAAGTCAATCTCAGATCGTCGAAAATAATAACCATCAGTACAAAATTAATAACAAACTATTCTCAGCTACGGAACAAGTCCTGAAGGAAATAAACGAAGTGGCGGACCGCACCAATTACGTAGCAAAGGAAACCGAAGCAATAGAATTCGAACAAAGCGCACTTCACAACATTCTGCTAATCCGTGATGAGATCAACGAAATGGTGCGGGCATGTCAAATGGCAAAACAAGGAATTATTAATACCAACTTACTCGACATGGACGAAGTCAATCAGATCCTATCTGAAATGGAAACTCTCCCATACCAAAACATAATAGAGGCCATCGAGTATGGCCAACATTCGATATTCACAAACGGGACACTACTCCTCTACGTCCTATCTATGCCGAAAGTAACGACAAACAATTACAGCCTCCTTATCACTCGAGCTGGCATCTACGAGGGTAAACAATTGGACTTACCGTTCAACAGAATGCTCGTCAACCAAGAGGAGACATATGGGCTGATTAAAAGTTGCCTGGTAATTAGTTCATCCACAGTTTGCAGCTCGGAATCCTTGACTAAACTGGAAGAAAACACCTGCTTACCACGGTTACTGAAAGGGGGAGACGCCAGCTGCCAATTTGCAAGGCGAAACGAAACGCTCATAGAGCTGGTCAACGATAACACGCTTTTTATTTCAAACTACCAAGGCGTGGTTAAGAGTCATAACGAATCAAGCGTCATAAACGGCACCTATGTGATCCAACTGAACAACGAGACAATAAGGATTGGCGAACAGGAGTTTACTAGCAGTGAAGTCGTTACAGCCCACGCACTGCCAGCTGTTGTGTCGAAGATAAAGAACAACACAATGAAGGTCAACCTCGAATACGTACATGACATAACAATGGAGAATATTAAGTATCTTGGGTACATTAATGAAAATACCAATTTTTCCTTCATTTCAGAAGCTATTTCAATTTTCGCAATACTATGCATTGCCACCATGTTATGGAGATGCTACACAAAAAGCCTGGATCTTCCACCAGTTCAAATTCCAACACATTGGGACGGGAACAGCGTTAACAAAAACCCTAAAAGAAGATCAGCTCCTCAACTATATTGCCTAGATAATAGCCCACCAGCCACAACGATCGAGAACATAACATCGGAAGACCGTAACCAGTCACTGCAAAATTTTACCCCTTCACGATTTTCAACTTTTGATCTGCGGGACGCAGATCTTTAAAGGGGGAGGAGTTATCACACCCATAATCCCAATACCTACCAATGGCGCACCCTTTACTCACGTTGCCGTGCATGTGAGTTTGTTGGCCAATATAGAACTTTCGCTGACGTAGTCCACGCGCAAGAGAATGGTAACACAACACGATCAATAACCCATGGGAAGTGCAGCATAGGCAATACTGGCCTGCACGCGCAACTCATCGATTGCGAAATACCTGATGGTGGTGGGAACTGCAACGTTAACATAAGTAGGGTAGAGTAATAGGTTTGCTGTTAAGAATCAATTATGTTTAGAGTTAGTTATGATAGTGAGTGCCATCAGTGCACAATAAAATCCGACTTGTCGATTCAACCGAATCTTGTGTTGTCATTGTTATTGGCGAACTGCTGGTTCGCAACAGCTTTAATTTTTTTCAAGGTTCCTATTCAAGGATCCTTAAGTTACATATATGGTCCAATTACATGCTACTATAAAACTCGATAGGTGGTGCTGGAGTAGAGTTATTTATAAAAATCGTATTTATTAACCAAGTTCGTTCAAATTTTAAATGTGAGCTATGTACCTGTATGATGGAAAATTCTTTTGATAAAAATTTACCCGATTAGTGCCGCTGGAGTTAAGGTTGAAATTCATAACACGTATTCATTTTATGGTAAGCAATGGTTTTGCAGAAAATTAACCCAATGGATGGCGCTGCAGCCGAAATGTATAGAAACCACGTGTGGTTGGTCTGCTTTGGACCTATGTTTAAGTTATACGAATTTAGTTTTCAGATGTCTAAATGAAGGATGGGGTTAGGTTTTTCTGACGCCCTCATGCACGATCATGCGGTCTTGCATCTACCCAGAAACAGTTCATAAATTTTACCACGAATTGTAAAAGTGGTGAATTAACAAGGAAAGATTACCGTAGGTATATCAATTGCTTCATTTGAAAGATACCTAAGAGATCTCTCGACTCATTTAGCACTGTACCGGAAAACTTTTCATCCTGTGGGACAGCGAGGATTCTTGGCCCTCCTATAACGAAAACGCACTTATGTGCACTTGAGTTTCCCTATAAGAACTTTTATTGGCATACGCATCTCACCAATGTTGTAGTCGCAAGATCATACAAAAAGATTACGCATGATTGGCAGAGATCTCACAGGTGGAAATAAGACCATCAGTAAAGCTCATGACACCAAAAGGGATTGGTATTCCATATGGTACCACCGCGTTACTATTATTGGCCTATGTGTGAGGAGGATACTGCACCTTAGTGGTTTCAACTTAAATCAAAAATTTTTACTTTACAGACTAATTTTGTTTTTAAACACTCTTTTGCATTGGCCAACGCAAAAGCTCTTATTAGGCCCCGCGAAGTAAGCGGGCATTGGCTAGTTAGTAAAATAAAAAAAGTAAGTGCGCCTGGGCCACACTGGAGAAGTTAAACTTACGTTACATTCATACCTATTTTGTCTCATAACCAATATACATACATACATACATATGTACATACATACATACATCTGCTTTTGCTTAAGGTTATATTTTTTGTCTTTTTTCTATTTATGTAGATCCCTACCTCTACCCCTGTTCGTTCTAAATACATTTATGTTATTTTGTTTTTCTTTATCTTCATTTTTATATTTCGATGGCTGAGTGGAAGATCGACCTATCTCGGCAGCCAGTTCGAAAACGCTCTATCTCAAAAAGCTTTTCAAGAACGCCCTATTTCAGAATTTAATTGAAAAACACCCTATCTCAAAATTCGGTTCAAAAACGCCCTATCCCACTTCAAAATGTATTGAAAATATGCTGATATAGGGCGTTTTTGAATCGACAGCTGAGATAGGGCGTTTTTGAAACGAATTCTGAAATAGGGCGTTCTTGAAAAGTTTTTTGAGATAGAGCGTTTTCGAACTGGCTGCCGAGATAGGTCGATCTTCCACTCAGCCATCGATTTATACTCTTTCGATAACAAAATCGATAGTAACATCCAATAAAATAACGATAACAAAACCGATAAAAAAAACGGTAGCAAAATCGATGAAAAATTAGATAAAAATTTCGATAGCAAAATCGATAATAATATTGATAGAAAAATCTATTAGAAACAGAATTAAGATATCGATAAAACTAACCATAACAAAATCGATTAAAATTTTGATCACAAAATCGATAAAAATATCGATAACAAAATCGATAAATATCGAGATCAAAATCATATTAAAATCGACAAATATCGATCGACAAAAATCGATAAATATCTATAAAAAAATCTATAAATATCGATAACAAAAACGATAAAAAATCGATAAAAATATCCATAACAAAATCGATGAATACCGATAACAAAATCGGTAAATATCGATACCAAACTGATAAGTATCGATAACAAAATCGATAAACAAATCGATAAATATCGATAACAAAATCGATAAAAAATATCGCCAACAAAATAGTTAAAAATATCGATAACAAACCCGATAAAAATATCGATTGTTATATCGATAAGTTCCGAAAATATCGATAGCAAAATTGATAACAGTATCGATAAAAATTTCGATAAAGAAATCGATGAACAATTGATAAATATCGATAACAAAACCGATAAAAATATCGATTATTTTATCGATAAGTCCCGAGAATCCCGAAAATCTCTAAAATCCCAAAATAGTTCCCAGATTGAATCCCTGTGTCTCTCTCTATATCCTTTCCTCTTTAATTACCTTTATTTGAATCCTGCTTCCCCTATCTTTATCTTTACTTTTATCGGTATCCTCATACTCCTCTTTGGCTTTACTTTTATGTTTATCATTTTCTTCATCCAAATATTCCCCTTCACCTTTGCCCTTATATATATAATTACAAGGCCGTATTTAGGGGGGGTGGTAATGTGGGGGTTCTGACGATGGGATACGATTTACACCAAACTTTAGCAAATACCCAATCGTGTGACACTGCCTTTAAACATGTATTTATACAGATGTTGGTAAGGAACGAACTATAAAAAACTAACCGAAATTAAATGACAACAAAAATAATATTTATTTTTGTTATTTTTTGGGCCTTATAACAATTATATTCAACAATATATATTGAGCTCGAGGCCATTTTTTAAATGAAAATTTATTGTGGAAAAGCAACAATAATTTGAAAAAATGGTAGAAGTGATAGCTATTTCGGAAATCACCACATTTCCTCATCAGACTTCTTTCAGTAGGATTCGAACCGACGATCCCACAGACTCAGCCAGTTGCCTATGCACCGTGCTAAATACGCCTTGTAAATTATCGTTTGCTTTTTTCCACTATTTTCATTTTTGTTATGCCAACACAATCAAGCGCAGCTATTCCGCTGCAATTCACTTGATCATGTGGTTGTTGGTATTGTTGGTTTTTTTGCTAATAACTCAATTTTTAGAATGTTTAACTTTATAAGAATTATATTCAACAATTTATATTGGCTGCGTTTCTTTATACATTCCGGATAATCCCATTTCACAGCTGGAATAAACAGAATACGTTTGAAATATACGTTAACATATCATCAGGAACATTCTAAAGAATAAGTAAACAAAAAAGTTTATTCCAAACGTTCAGAATGAATAAAGAAATGCAGCCATTGAGCTCGAGGCCATTTTTTAAATGAAAATTTATTGTGGAAAAGCAACAATAATTTGAAAAAATTGTAGAAGTGATAGCTATTTCGGAAATCACCACATTTCCTCATCAGACTTCTTTCAGTAGGATTCGAACCGACAATCCCACTGACTCAGCCAGTTGCCTATTCACCGTGCTATGTACGCCTTGTAAATTATCGTTTGCCTTTTTCCACTATTTTCATTTTTGTTATGCCAACACAATCAAGCGCAGCTATTCCGCTGCAATTCACTTGATCATGTGGTTGTTGGTATTGTTGGTTTTTTTGCTAATAATTCTATTTTTAGAATGTTTAACTTTTAGGTGTGCTCGTCCTTAAGTTATTTGTTTTCCGAAATAGCTATCACTTCTACCATTTTTTCAAATTATTGTTGCTTTTCCACAATAAATTTTCATTTAAAAAATGGCCTCGAGCTCAATATATATTGTTGAATATAATTGTTATAAGGCCAAAAAAATAACAAAAATAAATATTATTTTTGTTGTCATTTAATTTCGG